CCAAGTGTACTTTAGTACATGATGCTACAATGACATGTTCAGCCTCTGTTATTTTCAGAATGGGAAAACTCATTTCTCCTGCCTTCGAAAACTTTCAAGTTTTCTCAATTGCCATCCCCTTTGTTTGCCTTTCTTTTCTTTCTGCCCTCATCCAATATTCCTCTTTCACTGTGATATCAAATTCCTTGACTATGCAGTTAACATTTGTCTTTGATACTCTTCCCTTCTCTATGTGATGGTCTTTTTCTTCCTTCTTTCTCTTCTTCTAATGGGGTTCTTCAGTTGGCCTTCCACTAAGAAGCTCTCTGAGAAGGCCAAGGAAAGCTGATAAACTTCAGCTCCTCTGAGAATACTTGCACTTTAACAGGTGATTTTAAAAAACAGAAATACAGGGCCAGGCGTGGTGGCTCAAGCCTGTAATCCCAGCACTTTGGGAGGCCGAGACGGGCAGATCACGAGGTCAGGAGATCAAGACCATCCTGGCTAACACGGTGAAACCCCGTCTCTACTAAAAAATACAAAAAAAAAAAAAAAAAAAAAAACAAACTAGCCGGGCGAGGTGGTGGGCGCCTGTAGTCCCAGCTATTCGGGAGGCTGAGGCAGGAGAATGGCGTGAACCCGGTAGGCGGAGCTTGCAGTGAGCTGAGATCCGGCCACTGCACTCCAGCCTCGGCGACAGAGCGAGACTCCGTCTCAGAAAAAAGAAAAAAACAGAAATACATTCAAAAATCAAAAAAATAAAACTAGCAAGTAAGTGACAGGTAGTGGAGATTGTCCCTGAATTGCCAGCACCTACCCATTTTCCCTGTTCCTGCATGGGGACCTAACTGTAATTTTGGAGAAGGAATTGACTCAAGTTTCTCACCTATAAAGTGGTTGTAATAACACTTGCCTCTTGGGGCTGTTTGTAGGGGCATAAATGATATAAATGATGTGAAAGTGCTTCCTAAACTACAACGAGTTTTCCAACTCTTCCTCTACCTTCTAACACTGAACTGGGAATTGTGCCCTAAGGCTCACTCCTGCAAGAGAGGGCAGGTAAGTGATAATCCGGCCTTTAACACGGGAGTAGCTGAACTGCCTCACAGTAATTATTCACCTGAAAGGAAGGAGGTTTGACCAGCAATCTCTAACATCTTTTCTGGTCCAAAACCTATGATTATGAAAAAGTACTTAATTGGATATTGTTTTATATACTGTTCCAGATATCTCGATTTTTCCCAACTACCGTGTAAACTCCTAGAGGCCAGGGGCCATATTTTACAGCCCTTATGTAGCTTCTATAATAATTAGCATAACGCTAGACACTTAGGAGATATACAAGAAATGCACCAACCATGAAATGATTCACTGATATTCATTTCCTATATTTATTTATTTATTTATGTATTTTTTTTAGACAAAGTCTCACTTTGTTGGCCAGGCTGGAGTGCGGTGGCGTGATCATGGCTCACTGCATCCTCAACTTCCTGGGTGCAAGTGATCGTCTCACCTAAGCCTCCCAAGTAGCTGGGACTACAGGTGTGTACCACCTGGCTATTTTTTTTTTTTTTTTTTTTGTATTTTCGAGGAGGTAGAGACAGAGTTTTGTCATGATGCCCTTGAATCCCCCAGATCAAGCAATCTGCCCACCTCTGCCTCCTAAAGTGCTGGGATTATAGCCATGAGCCACCACACCTGTCCCTCTAATGATTAAAAAAAAATTTTTTTTAACTTTTAAATTTTAAAATTTTTTTACTTTTTGAGATGGAGTCTCGTTCTGTCATCCAGGCTGGAGTGCAGTGGCACGATCTCGGCTCACTCCAACCTCCGCCTCCTGGGTTCAAGCGATTCTCCTGCCTCAGCCTCCTGAGTAGCTAGGACTACAGGCGCCCATCACCACGCCCAGCTAATTTTTGTATTTTTAGTAGAGACGGGTTTCGCTATGTTGACCAGGCTGGTCTTGAGCTCCTGACCTCAGGTGATCCTCCTGCCTTGGCCTCCTATATTGACTTAAATTTGAGGCTGGTGCTTCCACTGAGAAGACAAACTTAACACACTCTCTCCACTCAGTGTATTTCCCTTTCCTAACAAAGCTCCTCTGTGTTCTGCCACTGTGTGGTGGAGAGTGCAGGCAGTCAGACACTGGGGGTGAGCTAACTTCTTAACTAGGTGACTCTTTTTTTTTTTTTGAGACGGAGTCTCGTTCTGTGGCCCAGGCTGGAGTACAATGTCGCGATGTTGGGTCACTGCAGCCTCCGCCTCCCAGGTTCAAGTCATTCTCCTGCCTCAGCCTCTGGGTAGCTGGGATTACAGGCATCTGCCACCACGCCGCCTAATTTTTGTATTTTCAATAGGGATAGAGTTTCACCATGTTGGCCAGGCTGGTCTTGAACTCCTGACCTCAGGTGATCCGCCCGCCTCAGCCTCCCAAAGTGCTGGGATTACAGGTTTGAGCCACCTTGCCCAGCTTAACTAAGTGACTCTTAATCTCTTTAAGTCTTGGTTTCATCATCTGTAAGATAGACACAATACCTTCCCTGCCTGCCCCAGGGGTTATGAAGACGAAATCAGAGTTTGAATGGAGGTCAAGCTTTTTAAAACTGCAAAGCTCCTTTCTGGGGTGAGGTAGCTGTTCTTAATGTTTATCTCTCATTCTACCTCTCTGATGACATTTGAGCCAAAGGGAAGCAGCTTCCTCTCTGCCACACACACACTTTCAAATCAATTTTATAATTTAAAATGGGACTCACAGATAGGTGTTATTAACAATGCAAGGCCCTCTAGTAGCTTCTTATTTTAAAAATTAATAATTATTGCTAATCAAGTGATAGATTTTTTAAAAAATCATTAAAATTTTCTGTACTGTCTCTATTTCAAATTTATTTTTCCCTGTCTTTCTACAGCTCTGGTCCTTAGAGAGTCTCAGGGGGATTTTTTAGAGTCAGGGATGCTTTCAGCCACAAATTTGAAGCAAACAATTGTGATGCTTCACCTATGCACATTTGTTTTTCATTTTCAAGTTATTTTTATGCACATTTTCTCACTTAGTCCTTACAGCTCTGACATCGGTAGGGCAAGAGGTGTTACCTTCATTTTTCAAATGAAATAGACAAATTTTATTTTGGCACCCTGACTTTCTTTTTTGAGGCAGGGTCTTGCTTTGTTGCCCAGACTGGAGTGCAGTGGCACTATCTCAGCTCACTGCAACCTCCGCATCCCAGGCTTGAGTAATTCTCCTGCCTCAGCCTGCTGAGTAGCTGGGATTACAGGCACCTGCCACCACTCCCAGCTACTTTTTGTATTTTTAGTACAGACGGGGTTTCACCATGTTGGCAAGGCTGGTCTCGAACTCCTGACCTTGTGATCCAACCGCCTCAGCCTCCCAAAGTGCTGGGATTATAGGCATGAACCACCACACCCAGTCTGCACCCTGGCTTTTAAAGTGCCATCTCCCCCTGGCCTTGTAGGATGCCATACATCTCTGATTCTGCAGGCAAGTGAGGCCATGGGTGGCAGCAGCAGCAGCACTTGGGAGTCTGGTAGAAATGCAGAACCTCAGACCTCCCCCAGGCCACCTGAATCAGAATCTAAGGTTTATCAAGACCTGCAGGTGATTCATGTGCGCATTCAAGTTTGAGAACATGGATCTGATCTGCGGATTCACATGAAGAAATTACTGACTTAATATCATCTCCCAGAAAAAAAGCTCCAAGATATTTATTTTTAAAAAGAACGCTTGAAAGAGAAATAATTAGTCCCCAAGAATGAGTGATGGGATTCTAGGCATCTGGCCCCTTAGAGAGCTTTCTAGTTCCCTGAATATACAGGATCCCAACTCTTATAATCACACAAAAGCTGATCTTGTGTTCCATGCTGTCATAGAATGATGTTTCAGAGAGAAAAAACAAGAAGGAATAATACAAGAAAATAAGGTAACAAACTGAAAACCTAAAATGGTAATTTGTACATGTTTTCCTTCATAAAATATGCAACTAAATGTTTACTGCATAGCTAGATGATAGCTAATCACACAACACTTAGAAAAATATATCAGGGCCGGGTGTGGTAGCTCACACCTGTAATCCCAATACTTTGGGAAGCCTAGGTGAGTGGATGGCTTGAGCCCAGGAATTCAAGACCTGTCTGGCAACAGAATGAAACTCCATCTCTAAAAACAAAATAAAACCCCCAAAATCAGCCAGGCATGGTGGCATGAGTCTGTAATCCCAGCTACTCAGGAGGCTGAGTGGGGAGGATCGCCTGAGCTGGAGAAGTTGAGGCTACAGTGAGCCATGATCACACCATTGCACTCCAGCCTGGGTGACAGAGTGAGACCCCATCTCTTAAAAACAAAACAAAAAAGAAAAAGAGAAAAACATATCAATCCGCTAACAACATTGAGTTCTATTTTTCTATATATAATTTGGCAGCCTCTGACATTTTGGAGTCACTCTAGACTATCACTTCTCTTCTCCATTAGCTGAATCACCCTTTAACTCTGAAAAGACTAAAACACTGTATATTTGGGCAAAAGTGTATGAAGTTTGTAAATAGATTGCCTTTACAATATTATTCTTCATTCAATCTATTTTTTAAACATTTCCCTGCAGTACATTCCAAGACTACTTCATCAAACTGTTAATAACCTTACACTTCAATTACATGTTGGCTTCACTTGGTGAGATTAGAAAAGTTGCATCAGAAACTGAATTAGTAATGCTAGAATCATATCTAGGATTGAGCTTTAGAGATGATACAATACAAATTCTTTCTTTTACACATGGAGAAAATGAAGTTCAGAGAAGAAATGTGATTCGCTCAAGGTCACACTCACAGTTTGGGGATTAGTCGAGGTTTCATCTGAAAACCTCTTATTTCATCTTAGTTGTAAAGAAACCTGAACAAAGTCACACACATCCTAAACTTCTAGTTTTCATGTTCAGCCACATCCTTTCCACCAGGACAACTTATGAATCAAGATTTTGGCTCAGACTTTTTCCTGAATGGCATCAACTCACCTTATCAACAATCTCCTGGATTTCTGGAGTGGCAGGTTTGGCCTCAGATAAGCCTCCAGGTATCATTTTGGCTGATTGCTTCTTTGCTGGACAGGATGCTGGAACCAAAGTGAACAGGGAAGTGTGGAGACTCGTGTGTTAAAAGAGGCATTCACTAGCTCCGCCTATAGAATGCTTTATTTTCCAGAAATAGCAAAGAGGCACGGGGAAAATGAGTATGCCTCCAAGTAAGTCTTCTTGCTTCCTGGACAGAATATGCTACATGGAATTTGGAAGAAAGAGGGGTTGGAGGATGAACAAACAGGCAAGTATAGGAGTCATGTCCTAACAAGCATCAAATATCCCCGCATTCTCTTTGACAATGGTTCCATCCTGTTGCATCATCTGAATTATGAAATCTGAAACTATAACTAGAATTTCCAAATGTTTTAAAACTTCTAACACAAAATTTTATTTTTTTAAAAGCAAAACTTACTAATAATGTCAAGGTTAATTTAGAATTTACTTGACTTTAGAAAGAAAGCAAAACGATCTATCTGGAGGACCTTGGCTGGATGTGTCTTCTTTACTCTTATTTAAATATCTGGAGATGTTTAACATACAGAAAAAACACAAAGAATAAAATAACAAACATCTATATTTCTATCACTCAGAGTTAAAATTTTTAACCTTTTTGTCATGTTTGCTTGCTATCTTTTATTTTGGTAGTTATTTTTAAGAAATAAAATATTATAGATATGGAGGAAGCCCCACACTCCACACAACCTTGCCTTCCAGAAGGCAAAGTACATTGTGAATTGATATCCTTCCAGGTCATTTTTATACGTTTACTTGGTGTGTTTTTAAAATTTCACTTAAATTGTATGCTGAATATATTCTATGTTATGCTCCTTTTTCTCTTCAACATGTTTTTGAGCCTTTCCATGTTGATATACACATAGATCAATCCACAGATAGATCAATCCTGTTCATTTCCTTTAACTGCGATATGCTACTTTATGCTAGACCTATCTATTTAGTCTACCTATCTAACTGCTATATACTAGTTCATATTTTATATACTCATTTCCCTACTGATGATGATTTTGGTTGTTTCTAGTGTTTCATTCTTACAAACAATGTTGCATTTTTTTCCCCTTTTGTACATGAGTGAGTGCTTCTGCAGGCAACTTATCTAGAAGCAAAATGACCATGTTGTGTGAATATTTATGTATATTATATTATTCAATTTTGGGAATATATAATACATACACAAGATAAAAATGTTTGAAAGGAACCAGGCTTTACAATATAAGGAATTATTCACTCACTTAATTCCTTAGACACCCTTCTACTTTCCAGAGACAACTATTGGCACCAACTTCTTCTGTATCCTTCAGAGACATTCTATACACATACAAATATAAAAATAATTGGAGGCTGGGCACGGTGGCTCACGCCTGTAATCCCAGCACTTTGGGAGGCCGAGGCAGGTGGATTACAAGGTCAAGAGATTGAGACCATCCTGGCCAACATGGTGAAACTCCATCTCTACCAAAAATACAAAAATTAGCTGGGCATGGTGGCATGAGCCTGTAGTCCCAGCTGCTCGGGAGGCTGAGGCAGAAGAATTGCTTGAACCTGGGAGGCAGAGGTTGCAGTGAGCCAAGATTGTGCCGCTGCACTCCAGCCTGGCAACAGAGCAATAGTGTGTCTCAAAAAAAAATAATAATAATAATAATAATAATAATTGGCTACACACACATGCACATATACATAGATAAATATACATCTATATAGGTTTTCTTTTATAAAAATGGTATTCTATATAAATGATTACACTTTTTGTTTTATTCCTAACAATATATTTTGGAGATTGTTCTATATCACAATACAGGGAGGTGCTTGTTTCTTTATGTGATGTTTGGTAGGTGCTTGGCAAATTCTTGGAGCTAGGTGAGTGTCTTATGGGCTAAACTAAGGGGCGCTACACAGGTAATCTGTCCACAGAATGCCTTTACCCTGTGGATTAAGAAGAACAGCGAATGTGGATGACAAGGTTCTCCCTCAAGAGGCCACAGGTCATCTGAAGATTTTGGCTCAGCTGTCATAGGCCACTGGTTCTACTCATCTTCATGTGACCTCCCCAAGTCAAGTCCTTTCATATTCAGGCCCCTGACATTTTTTCAAGCCTGCAGCCCATTTTTAGTTGTTCACTTACATCCTAGTCCAGGCCATCCTTATTGAATCTCCCCAGTGGTAAGGGATATGATAAATAGCAAGTCTACTCTTCTCTTTTTGAGGTCTATGCCCTGTACTTTCAGCTCTTTCCTATTGATTCTCAATAATTTACTGTAGAAGTAAAAACTTCCCCAAAGCAAATATTGCTTTTGTCTTTTGTATTCCTCCTGTAACTGTGGGGAAAAGAAAAAGAGATCAGACTGTTACTGTGTCTATATAGAAAGAAGTAGACATAAGAGACTCCATTTTGTTCTGTATTTGAGATGCTGTTAATCTGTGACCCTACCCCTAACCTTGTCCTTGCAAGAGACATGTGCTCTGGTGACTCAAGGTTTAACGGATTTTGGGCTGTGCAGGTTGGGCTTTGGTAAACAAGTGCCTGAAGGCAGTATGCTTGTGAAAAGTCATCACCATTCTCTTAATCTCAAGTACCCAGGGACACCTACACTGCCAAAGGTCCATAAGAGGAAAGAAGGCCTCTTGACAGTTGAGATAGAGAAAAGCATCTGTCTCCTGCCCATCCCTGGGCAATGGAACATCTTGGTGTAAAACCAGATTGTATGTTCTGTTTACTGAGAAAGGAGAAAACCACTTTAGGGCTGAAGGTGGGACGTGCTAGCCGCAATGTTGCTCTTTATGCACTAAGAAGTTTTATGGAGATGTTTGCATATGCATACCAAGGCACAGCACTTTTCCTTAAACTTATTCATGTCACAGAGATCTTTATTCATATGTCTTACTGTTGACCTTCTCCCTACGATGATCCTATTATCCTGCCACTTCCCTTTTTCTAAGATGGTAAAGATAATGATCAATAAATACTGAGGGAACTCAGAGACTGGTGCCCGTGTGGGTCCTCTGTATGCTGAGTGCCGGTTCCCTGGGCCCACTTTTTCTTTCTCTATACTTTGTCTCTGTGTCTCATTTCTTTTCTTAAGTATCTCGTTCCACCTAACGAGAAACGCCCACAGGTGTGGAGGGGCAGGCCACCCCTTCATCTGATGCCCAACGAGGGTGCTTTTCTCTAAGGTGAAGGTACGCTCGAGCTTGGTCATTGAGGACAAGTCGACGAAAGACTCCCGAGTATGTCTACAGTCAGCCTTGCGGTAAGCTGGTGTGCTCAGAAGAACCTAGAGTAACTATGGGGCAAACTAAAAGTAAATATGCCTCTTATCGCAGCTTTATTAAAATTCTCTTAAAAAGAGGGGGAGTTAAAGTCTCTTACCAATAATCTAATTATGCTATTTCAAACAATAGAACAGTTTTGCCCATGGTTTCTGGAACAGGGAACTTTAGATCTAAAAGACTGGGAAAAAATTGGCAAATAATTAAAACAAGCAAGTAGGGAAAGTAAAATCATTCCACTTACAGTATGGAATGATTGGGTCATTATTAAAGTAGCTTTAGAACTGTTTCAAACAGAAGAAGATAGCATTTCAGTTTCTGATGTCCCTGAAAGCTGTGCAGTAGATTGTGAAAAAGAGGCAGGGATAGAATCCCGGAAAGGAACAGAAAGTTCACATTGTAAATGTGTAGCAAAGCCGGTAATGGCTCAGTCAATGCAAAATGTTGGCGATAATCAATTACAGGAGGTGATAGATCCTGAAACGTTAAAATTAGAAGAAAAAGGTCCAGAATTAGCAGAGCCATCAGAGTCTAAACCACGATGGCCAACTCCTCTTACAGCAGCTCAGATGCCTGTAACTTTACAACCTCAAATGCAGGTTAAACAAGTACAAACTCCAAAAGAAGATCAAATAGAAAAAGATAGAGTCTCTGCCATGGCAATGCCAATCCAAATACAGTGTCCACAATATCAGCTGGTAGAAAATAAGACCCAGCCACCAGTAGCCTATCAATACTGGCCGCCAGCCAAACTTCAGTATCGGCTGCCCCCAGAAAATCTGTATGGACAGCCAGGAATGCTTCCAGCGCCACAGGGCAGGGCGCTGAATCCTCAGCTGCCCACCATGGAACGTAATCCTACAACACTGCCTAGTGGGCAGAGTGGTGCATTACATAAAATTATTGATGAGGCAAGAAAACAAGGAGCTATTGAAGCGTGGCAATTCCCACTAATATTAGAATCAAGACCACCTGGAGAAGGGGCCCAAGAGGGAGAGCCTCCCGTAGCTGAAGCCAGATATGAGTCCTTTTCTATAAAAATGCTAAAAGAAAGAGGGAGTAAAACAGTATGGACCTAACTCTCCTCACAAGAGAACATTATTAGATTCCATTGCTCATGGACATAGACTCATTCCTTATGATTGGGAGATTCTGGCAAAATCATCACTCTCACCCTCTCAATTTTTACAATTTAAGACTTGGTGGATTGATGGGGCACAAGAACAGGTCCTAAGAAATAGGACTGCCAATCCTCCAATTAACATAGATGTAGATCAACTATTAGGAATAGGTCAAAATTGGAGCACTGCTAGTCAACAAGTAATAATGCCAAATGAGGCCATTGAGCAAATTAGGGCTATCTGCCTTAGGGCCTGGGAGAAAATCCAAGACCCAGGAACCACCTGCCCCTCCTTCAATACAATAAGACAAGGATCTAAAGAGCCTTACCCTGATTTTGTAGCAAGGCTTCAAGATCTGCTCAAAAGTCAATTACCGATGAGAATGCCCATACGGTCATAATGGAGTTGATGGCATATGAAAACGCCAATCCTGATTGTCAATCAGCCATTAAGCCATTAAAAGGAAGGGTCCTGGCAGGATCAGATGTAATATCAGAGTACGTTAAAGCCTGTGATGGAATTGGAGGAGCTATGCATAAAGCTATGTTTATGGCTCAAGCAATCACAGGAGTTGCTTTAGGAGGACAAGTTAGAATATTTGGGGGAAAATGTTATAATTGTGGTCAAATTGGTCATCTAAAAAACAATTGCCTAGTCTCAAATAAAATGTAACTACTCAAGCTACTACAACAGATAAAGAGCCACCTGGCCTATGTACAAGATGTAAAAAGGGAAAACATTGGGGTAATCAGTGTCGTTCTAAATTTGCTAAAAATGGGCAACCACTGTC